TTATAATATATTAAATACAGCTGTATGAAAATGTAAAACTGTGATAAATAGTTGTATAGAATTCAGGAATATGGATTATCAATCTCTCAGTGTCATGACAAACAGAAGACCTTGACTATGAACAGAACATGAAGTCAGAAAGTGACGCAGCTCGGATGTCAGTTTGAGTCACCTGCTGTGATCCTGGTACTGATGTTCTGAGTCTTAAAGTTTTCCAGCCTGAAGCGTTAGTACATTGAGTTTTGGAAGAAAAAAACGATCTATAAAATTCAGAGGAACATGAGTCAAAACAAAATACTCCYATGACTAAGCGGCCAAAGAACTCAGTTCAATCTAAAATGGCTTTTACTGAACTAGTAAGAGTTTGGACACATATAAATGAGGGTAACGACAGAAAGCAGCCAGAGCCTGCGAGGGATTTAAAGACACGTTGGGGTGGAAATTCATCCCAAATAAATATGAGTTAGAATTTATAGCTTAACCATTTAACGTGATGTAATCATTTGTGCCAAAGAAGTGCTCTATAAAAATATCCTCTGTATGGTTTTGATATATTCAAACATAATTATTCTAAATCATGTCTACAGGTGTGTGGCAGTTATTTTCCCCAAAGACATCCTCCCCCTTTTTTCCCCCCATGTTTTGCATGTTTGTTGTGTTTGGGATCATTTTTGGCTGTAATCCTTTAGGCAGCAGCCAAWGTTAGAGGTCATCTGTTCAGGGCAGTGGTTTGTGCAGAACTATTGTTTGCTGCTTTGTGTTGCAGTCAGCTGCAAGTCTCCCCTGTCTGTTCTGAATACAGCTGAGTCTGTGCAGGTACAGATGGGGAAAGGTCAACACAAAGAAGCTGGGTCAATCGTGCTGATGAGGCTTTCATTAGACGCTTGTAGTTATTGAGACTGGCATAAAAACAACTCCTTTACAAGAGGCACTCAGTCCTAAATTCAGGAAACTCTCAGGAGGAGGAGGAAACATCCTTTTGATTCCCTGCAGCAACTTAGTCAAAGGAAAGGAAGCATGTTTTTTTTTCATGTCAGGTTTTTGTCTTGAGTTTTCATTGCCTTTATAGGTTTTTCTCCAAGCTCCATGATATGTTTAAGAATAGGCCAACATACATCCAGCATAAATAACTTAAGTGACCTTGAACAGTTATTTTATACTTTAAAAGTAAATTTTGTTTTTATTGAGGTAATTTTTCAAGGTTTTCTATTTTATTTATTTATTGTACTTAATTTTACAATGTTTGTATGTTTAAATTTAAAAAATTATGTAAGCATTAGTTAATAATAAATTGGACCAATCTTTCTCATACCTACTGTTGTTGAATATTGTTTACTGTTTGACCTGATCAAGACTTTTTAAGATTCCACACTAAAAAAAYGTAATAAAGGTACGTGTGATTCGTTCAGATATCTTCAACACTCAAGGCTGCAATATCAATATATCAGAAGTGAAAACATTGTATCGAGACACCCCAAATATTGACAGTTTTTTCCAAAAAATGATTGTGATTGGGTGGCTGATTGGTGACCGGAAAGTCGCAAGTCTGATTTCTTACCTTTCCCATATGTTATGATGTCCTACTACCTAACTGCTTCCTGTTTGATTAAACAACAGCAATGATGGTACACAACACTGTCATCATGTAATTATTGTTTTTGTTTTTCATAATCAACCAGTCTTGATAAAACCTGCGTGCCTTTAGACTGCCTAAATCATGACCACATGTGATCTGTGGTCATGAACACAATAACTAAAAAGTTCAAAAGAAAGTTTTCCATGTAGATTGGCAATAAATCAAAGTCTCACGATGACCGTTTCAAAAAGGCAGGGGTTCATTCGTCACAAATATTGAATTTAATTGGTATTATTGATGAATAGGAACTCTGTGAGGCCAGGTAATTATAAGCATAACAAAGAAGTTCAATTTCAGCTCAAACCAATCAGTCTTTTCCTCTTTCAGCTGTCACCACGTCTCTTACTGGAATCCTAAACACGTCAAACAGATTGACTTCGTTAGCATTCATTAGAAAACGTACACAAACACACCTTGCATCAGTGTGGAAAATCTTCGTGCAGGATAGGATTTTATTCCTGTAGATTTTATTCCAGAACCTCCCAGCCTTCATAAAACCCATGTCTCTGACCAGATTGCTCATGCTAACAGCTCATTATGTACACTCAGCTAACAAGAGCATTTCCTCCTTGGGATAATGACCATTTTCCACTCATTACTTTTGTGATTTTTTTTTTTTCAGTTCTAGGCACAAAATCTGCTTTTAATGTTGGTCTCCTTGTAAACTCTCATTTGGGGTCATTTTCTTCCCCTAACCTTACTGTGAATCTCACTACCACTACCTTTAAAAGTCCTTCCTGCTGAAGTTTTAATATGGAGGAAAAAAAAGTTTTTTGTTTCTTGTCAGCACGGTGGTCTAAAAATAATAAAAGTTCCACAAGTGGGATGGGGATTGTCTCGTGTCCCTTTTGTGCTATTTTACTCAGCTTCCCTACCCAGTATAATCCTAATCATCTGTCTCCTCTCAAACCTCTATCCACCAAGGCTCGTCCTATTTCTTCAAAGGGAAGGAGTACTGGCGAGTGCCGGGAAGCGACATGGAGGTGGAGGCAGGCTACCCCCGCCTCATCGCGAAGGACTGGCTGCTCTGCACCGAGATGCAGTCGGACGCTCCAGACTCTGAGACCAAAAGCACGGAGACGAGAGTCAACGTGCACCCGGACCACGCCAAGAACGAATTTGAGGTGTGCTCCTGCACCTCTGACACCGCCTCGCCTTTAGGCTCCCACCTCTCCCCGCCTCCCACCTGGCTGCTGCCGCCCCTCTGGACGCTGTTGCTGACCCTCTGCTCCGAACTGCTATGATGCTGAAGCATGGGGACTAAGTTTTCATGTTGGGAGCAGGAGAAGTTAATGAAGGGCCACTTGATGCTCAGCCAAAACAAGCTGGAAGAGTTTGTTTATATGAATCCTTTTTTTTCCTCTAATGTTCATCTTTTTAAACTAATGCATTATTTATTTCACATCATTTATGATCATTTAAAGATCCTTTCAGGTTAGATTCAACAGATTTGTCTCATCCTGTCTATAAGGTGCACTTTTAGGGATCTGTACTCTGACAGCAATTATGCTAGAAATGTATTTTTTATTTTTAACAAACTTGAGTTTCACAGAACTGCAAGTTATATATTTTAAAAAGGCTAAGCTGCCTCGTCATTGCAAGTAGGGCTAACTTAATGAAACTGTTCAAACATTTTGTCTGCAAATATTTGGACAGGAACCGTCGTTGGCATTATAGCGGATCCCCTGAACATATTCAGTTGTATGAATATGTGCCTCTAAGTCAAACTCACAGCCTAAATTTAAGAGTATTCACATTTATTTATATAAATATATATACAGTATATTACAATTCCTTATGTATAAACTCTATTTGATTCTTTTAAATGCCAGTATAAATCTAAACATAAGTGGAATCAGATTACTCCTCTTTTATGGTGCGGTATGAGGGCAAATATTAAGACTATTGTGCAATCAGAGGTTGTTATATCCTTGTAGCAGGAGGCTATATCTATTTCTAAGCCAGCTGTTGATCTGATTAATGATAGGCCGGCACCAATAACTGAGCAGCAGGCCCTGGTAACTGAGAGGCCGGCACTGGCAAATGAGAAGGAGACTATTCATTTGTGTTAGCATCAGAGAGTCTAGCTACTAGCATGAATAAACTGGCGTTAGCATTAGAAAGGCAAGCAAGTAGGGGTCTCTGCTGACGAGTGGGCGTGTCACAAGGAAACGCGATTCTAAAGCGACACACCCGATTTGACAGACCGTTTTAATGGGACACCTTACTGGGCAAGCAAAAAAGGGGCGTCACCGTACAGCACCACCTGATTGGACAAGAACAAAAGGGYCGTTACTGTACGGCACCACTTTTTCTGGAGAACCCCTACTTGGGTCACATTTCTCCTGGTTAACCTTAGTGTTGGAGTCAGGGTCAGGCTGTAAAGAGATCAAGCAGGGTCTAAGGGTACCGTCATGTAGGCCTCGTAGCCCGCACGCCCACTCTTGTGACACGCCCACTTTGATTCCGCAGATAACCCCTTCTCGAGGCAAGCAACAAGCATGCCAAGGCTAGTGACCCACTGGATTGCCAACTCCCTCTGCTGTCCATTGGCATGGATAGGCTGGCATTAGCACTGGAGAGGCTAGTGACTAACATGCCTCACCTACTTTATTAGACACCAATTTTTTTGGAATAAAGAAAAACTAAAGCAGACAGCTTTAATTACCCCTAAATAAGCAGTTGTGTTTGCCCAAGGCTATTGATGAATTGCTGTTTTTTTTTTTGTTTTGTTTTGTTTTGTTTTTTTTCACGTTAGCCAAATTATAAGAAAAGCCAGAACTAACAAGTTGGGGCTTTTGCAGTTTTTTACAGGGTATTAGGCTTCTCTATATTGAATTAAAATTTATATCTTATACAAATATTTCTCATAATTCAGCTAAAGCGAAAAAAAAAAACAGCCATCGACCAATAGACAAGGGCAAAAGCAGCTGCTAATTCCAGTGCTAACAAAACGTGTCTGCTTCACAGTAATATTCTTTATGCTTAATAGCCTCCTGCTAAAAGGATGTAGCAACCACAGGTTGCACAATAGTCTTAATTTTGGCCCTCATACCACCCCATACTCTGTTACCACTAAAAAAGATTCTTGGTTTTCTTTGTCCTTATGCTTTACTGTGAAGCATCTTTATTTGCCTAAATGTTGTCAAAAAGTTTGTAGAATGGATTTATTTTAATGTTGATTTGTAAACTGTTTTTATTATACTAAACCTTACACTGTAAAAAATGAAATGTTGGATTTACTTAACCATGTTATGTTACCTGTTTCCACTTAACTGAGTTGAGTAAATTCAAAGTTAAAATACCAGTTTTTTAGCCAAAGAACATGAGTATGTTGCTTTGAATTTACTCAACCCAGTTAAGTGGAACCAGGTAACATAACATGGTTAAGTAAATCCAACATTTCATTTTTAGAGTGTACCTTGCTATTGTATTTGCTTTTCTCCTAAAACTCACAAAGCTGTCGATTTACATCTAACTAATTTGGTAGATATGATTTGTTTGCTACATCTTTTACTTCCTTCAGAAGTTTCATCGACCACTTTTGGGTTCACGTCAGGTACTTAGAAATAAAACTGTAGGAAAAGTCCTCACTTGTCCATGAAAAGGTTCATGATATGCTGTAAACTGGTTACAATCAGTCAACTTGAATGTGAATACTCTTAAATTGCTGTTAAACCCTCGTGTTAAAATGTCAGTGCTCAGGTATTACTTTATCAGCCCATACAGAGCGTCAGTCTGTCTTTTAAAACCTGTTACTTATTACATTACCTGTTCATTTAACATACTAAAAAGTCTTAAAACACTACTTTTTAAACAATTAAGGTCTCAAAATTTGGAAGTCAGGGGTAGCTTCAGAAATACAGCATTCTCCCAGTCCTCACCAGTCGTATGGTTCTGCTCAGCGTTAGGCTGGCTGCAGGAAACATCAGTTARGACCACGGTTGAAATTTGGGTCAACCGGTCCCAAAGGGAGAGACYGGATTTGGTATTGAGCCAAATATAGAGTGAAACCAGGGTGAAGAGTGACACCCTGAGTTATCATAGTGAGACAGCTGACTGACAGTGTGGCAGCTGTCTTCTCAGACGAGTGTAAAGCACCTTGGGATGTGTTGTAGATAGATGCTTAGGTTTACAGGTGAACGACCTCTGGGAATCTTGACAGGAAGACACATGAATGGCATGTCGACAGGTAGTATGAATGATTTTTAGACTCGCTAAGAGTGAGCTGTGAAAAAGTAACTCGGGGGTGCGRAAAATACGACAAATGAATGTTGGAAAGTTCAAATCCTGGGCTCCCGCTGTTGCTTAGCTCCAATGTTCTCGCTTTAAAGCCTTTAAATGAACTCCTAGTTCTTCATTTCTCACATAAAGCATTCCCAGCTGGTTTATCGTTTTTCTTTTTTTTTTTCTTTTTTTTGTTGTAATAAATATGAATACATCAGAAGTCCATGCTGCGTTGGTGAGCTGACATCTCATACTTCGATTCCAGCTCCCGGTGGCGACGTCCAACTCAGACCTCACACGGCAGCCAACAGATTTATTATTGTTGCTGATGTATTTACCTACAGTTTAAATATAGATACAGATATATTTGAGTCAAGATGTTCAATGGTTGTTGCAAACCAAGTGGACTGTGTATATTTCAAGCTGTGTTTTCTAATGTAAAATATTTTTGTAGAAAAAAAAATAAAGAATCTGAACAATCTTGCTGAATGATTCTGGTCACAGGACTGTGTGCTGAGGGKGATTGTTGTGAGTCCTCTCGTGTGGATGAGTGTGTCATTATTATGACCCCTGCACGCTAAGCGGGGATTATATTATTTTTTGTTTTTGTTTTGTTTTTCAAGATTTTTGGTCAACTGTAGCACAGAAATGGCTGCTGCACCAGCCAACGATTTTATAATGGACTCCATATTTGAGGAGGGGGCTCTAGACATACAAAGACATACAAAGTACGAAGCCATCGCATGAGGAACTGAGTCACATAGCTGGTGGTAGTGTAAGAAAAGTGTTCAGTAAATTGAAAGTCAGTATAAGTTTGCAGAAAATCGGTTGATTCTCTTCTAAAAAAAGCTTTATTCAAAAGCCTGACTCCATTAAGTCCCACAGTCAGACAGCAATAGATCTGTGWGTAAAAAGGCCTTGGGTTTTATCAGAACCAAAACAACAACCAAGCAGCGTCTATCCCAGGCCATTAAAGAGTAACTTACCCCAAAATTAACTTTTTTTAGCTGATAAACTGTCTAGAATGTGTCTAAAATGTTATATAGTACTGTTCCTGTGCTAATTGTGATGTTTTTGTGCGTATTTGTTCAAATCTGTAATATTTGGTCTAAAAACGTCTTTTTGCTGCTCATATGGGTAGAGCAGTGGTACTGCAGGCTAATTTGCATATTGGTTAACGGCTCTCCATGGTGACGTGTCTTCTCCACATGTCACGGTTTCGTCACAGCGGCTGTGTTCTGGTATAAAAGCCTCTCTCTAAGACACGCCCCTGCAGCAGT